CGGAGAGGTGGGCCAGCACCCTGAGCTCTATCTGGCTATAGTCCAGGGCCACCAATAGCCACCCCTCCTCGGCGATGAAGGCCCGGCGGATCCTCTGCCCAAGCGGGGTGCGGACGGGGATGTTCTGGAGGTTGGGATCGGAGCTACTTAGCCTGCCCGTGGCCGTGGCCGTCTGGTTGAAGCGGGTGTGGAGGCGGCCCGTCCTGGGGTGGATGAGGTCCGGCAAGGGGTCAATGTAGGTGCTCTTCAGCTTGGTGAGCTCCCGGTACTGCAGGATCTTCTCCACGATGGGGTGGGCCTCGCGGAGGGCCTCCAGGACGGCGGCGCTGGTGGAGCGCTTGCCGGTCTTCTCCGTCTTGCCGATGGCGGGAAGCCCTAGCTCGTCAAAGAGGACCCTTTCCAGCTGGTCCCGGGAGTTGAGGTTGAAGGGGTGGCCGGCCAGGCGGAAGACCTCGGCCTCGAGGCGGGCGATCTCCTCGGCCACCTCCAGGGACAAGGCCCTGAGATAGGCCACGTCCAGGCGCACCCCCGTGGCCTCCATGTGGGCCAGGACAGCGGAAAGGGGCCTCTCCACCTCCCGGTAAAGCCAAAGGAGCCTCTCCTCCCCCTCAAGCCTCCCCCACAGGTTGGCGAAGAGCCTCTCGGAAAGGGCGGCCCGCTCCCCCGCCTCCTCCGTCCACTCCCCGCCGTAGCGCCGGGCCACCCCCTCGGGGGTGGTGTTGGAAGGGTCCAGGAGGTAGGCGAGGAGCATGGGGTCGTCGCCGGGCGGGAGGCCAAGGCCTTCCCTCAGGGCCAGAACGCTCAGGTCTTTGGCGAGAAGCCCCCGCGCCTCCTTCAGGTCCCTGAGGGCTTTATAAGGCTCGGGGGCCCGGTGGACCCGGCCCCCCCTGGCGGCGGCCAGGGCCAGAAGATCGGCCCACATGGGCTCCTTGCGGGAAAGCACAAAGCCCACGAAGGCCCCTTCCGGCGGGGGCCAGGGGGCCTCCTCCAGGGCCTTGGGGCTTTCCAGAAGGCCGAACTCGTGGAGGAGGCTGCCAAACTCAAGCCTCTCCAGAAAGGCCCTAAGCCTCTCCCGGTCGGGCTCCCGCCTTTTGGCGAAGTCCACCTCCAGGGGCAGGTCGGTGCGCACCTTGGCCAGGTCCCAGGAGAGCTTCAGATCGTCCATGTGGGCCAGGATCTTCTCCCGGATGGCGGGCTTCAGCCGGTCCAGGTTCTTGAGGAGGGCTTCCAG